GATGCCGCGGAATTTATCTTCATCCTTAATTACGATTGATCTTGACATAAATAAACAAATTGAGTTCTCTCTACTGAAACTCTGTTATGAAACAGAATCTGCATATTTACATTGGCCTAGGTGCTTTTTGTTATTCAGTTACAAAAAGCAATTAGGAGGCTTAGATTAGAGAACTGATTAGCAATAAATCTAGAATATGACGGCTTTTTTTAAAAAAAAAAATTTGCTGAAGAGGGGAGAAATTAAAACGTACAAAGCTTTCAACTCTAGTTAGTATTGGCATGAGACATGTTGGTAAATGATGTGCGAAATGTCCACAACCTCACACTCATTAATAGAGAAAAGACCAATGTGTTGGTTTCCAAGACAATCTGCACGATATCGGAAAGTGTTTTCTCCTGTCTGTTATATATTCTATTATGTGTTTCTACTGCATATGATGTAGGGACACGGTGGCTCAGTGGCTAAGATGCTGAGCTTGTCGATCGAAAGGTTGGCAGTTCAGCGGTTCGAATCCCTAGTGCCGTGTAACGGGGTGAGTTCCTGTTCCTTGTCCCAGCTTCTGCCAACCTAGCAGTTCGAAAGCACATAAAAAATGCAAGAAGAAAAACAGGGACCACCTTTGGTGGGAAAGTAACAACATTCCATGCGCCTTTGACGTTTAGTCATGCTGGCCACATGACCACAGAGACGTCTTCGGACAGCGCTGGCTCTTCGGCTTTGAAACGGAGATGAGCACTACCCCCTAGAGTCGGGAACGACTAGCATATATGTGCAAGGGGAACCTTTACCTTTACCTTATTGCATATGATAAGTCCTTTTGCACTGGTTCCAATAGGACTCCTAAACCAGGTGCCTTACCTTGCCTATTTTTACAGGTTACCGTTAATGACTCCAAACTTCTTCCTGCTTCTAAAGCAACCACCATCAATTAGGATTTCACCAAAAAAAAAAGACTAAAATATTACCAGGGAACCAGTGAGGATGAGCAGAGCTCATTTCTCAGGGACAGGCACCAGCAACTTTTGATGCCATGGCACAAATCTGGAAAATGAAAAAAGCTTTTTTTAAAAAAAAAATAGAAAGTCCATTGACTGCCAGTGTTTTTGAATAGCACTAGCACTTAGACTTATATACTGCTTCACAGTGCTTTCTGGCAGGAGGTTGCTTTATTAACTACTTTTAAGGGTTAAAAATGTCATTCTCTTTTTCTCATCCAAATCCTAATTTGGTCGAATAGCAATAGTACTTAGACTTATATACCGCTTCACAGCCCTCTCAAAGCGGTTTACAGAGTCAGCCTATTGCCCCCAACAATCTGGGTCCTCATTTTACCGACCTCGGAAGGATGGAAGGCTGAGTCAGCCTTGAGCCTGGTGAGATTTGAACTGCCAAATTGCAGGCAGCCGGCAGTCAGCAGAAATAGCCTGCAGTACCACATTCTAACCACTGCGCCACCATGGCTCTTCAATCCCCACAGCCATGCCGGTCACATGGACACTACCGTGACTTCAGAGGGAAGGGAAGTCAGTCTTATTTTTTGTGATAGTGCTTTGTAACGTGTTTTGTGCAGGGCTTAAAATTGGTGCACAAAAATACTAGGAACAAAAAAGCTGCTTTGGTCGAAATAATAAGAGCCGTGGTGGCATAGTGGTTAGAGTGCAGTACTGCAGGATACTTCTGCTGACTGCCGGCTGACTGCACTGACTGACTCACTGGCTGTAAATCACTGTGAAGCGGTATATAAGTCTAAGTGCTATAAGGGAGTATTTCTTTCTTATACACCCAACAAGGACCAGACATGAATTTGAAAGAAAAAAAGACAGATAATGTTTGAGGGCAGATAATGAGTGAGTAGGCATATATAAAAGGTTAAATAATGTCTCCATGTTCACTGCTTCAAATCAAATATTTATTACGGTCATAGATCATGATGATGACAATGTTGTTATCCATTCAGTCATGTCGGACTCTTGATGTGTGAACTGCCATCGTTCACTTGAGCTTTGCATTCATTAGCTGTCAATCTGCCATGAATTATGGGGGATGGAGCTGGTCAGAAGGGAGAAAGGCTAACTAACTAAGAACCATGGTGGCACAGTGGTTAGAATGCAGTACTGCAGGCTACTTCTGCTGACTGCCGGCTGCCTGCAATTTGACAGTTTGAGTCTAGCCTTCAATCCTTCCAATGTTGGTAAAATGAGGACCCAGAATGTTGGGGGCAATAGGCTGACTCTGTAAACTGCTTAGAGAGGGCTGTAAAAGCACTGTGAAGCGGTATATAAGTCTAAGTACTATTGCTATCATCGTACCTTCCAGAGACACCATCTCAAAGTCAAAACACTGGGAACGGAATGTAACAGCTCATCAACCAGCCCGCCATTGAAGGGACAGTTCCGAAAACAATTTATTCAAATGTATTTGGACAATAGGGGACTAGCAAGGAGGAAGAACTGGATGGGGAAAATTAACCGGGAAAGTTCAGCGTGCGAACATCAGTTCTGGTTTTTCTATATTGTAATCCATTTGGCTTTTAGTAAAGTAAACCTTTCACACCGAATGCAGTCAAGGGTCATTCTTACTTAAGAGACCAAGTTGGGGCAGGACTGACATGATGATTCTATGGGCCAGGTCTCTCAACATCTTCCAATATTTCTTTCTTTCTTTCTTTCTTTCTTTCTTTCTTTCTTTCTTTCTTTCTTTCTTTCTTTCTCTTTCTTTCTTTCTTTCTTTCTTTCTTTCTTTCTTTCTTTTTTGTCAAGAACATATTAGGTAATAAGTATAAGCATGGATTGGATACATAAAATAGATACAAATAGAGGAAACATTAGGACAGGGATGGGAGGCACGCTGGTGCACTTATGCATGCCCCTTACAGACCTCTTGAGTTGTTCTATGTTTTGGTTGGTGTTAACATTGATGCTATCAACATACCTCCATTCTTCTTTTTTTTAGCACAAATTATCCCCTTTTCCCATATGTTTCCCTCACTTCTCCCTACATTTGTGGATAAGAATTGTAATTCATTAGCTCTGACATTCTACACTTTTCCGGAAAGTGCTTGAGGGAAATATGGCATACATTATTTGGTAGACTTAATTCTGCTCCATCAGAGCTGAAACGGCAGTGTAAAAGTGTAGCTCATATGGAAAAAGATCAGATATATATATATATATATTTACGGTTCATCCATTAAGGAACCTCTGCATAGAAACGTACTTTTAATCTGTACACCAACTCAAAATTATCCCTTTGTGATCAAAATGTTCCAAATGATTCAGTGGTGGGATTCAGCCAGTTCGCACCTATTCGGGAGAACCGGTTGTTAACTATCTAAGCAGTTCGGAGAACCGGTGGTTGGAAGAAATCTTATTTTGTTTTGTTTTTTTCACTTTACAGGGCTAATCCTGTAAGGAAGGCAGGAAGGAAACATTCTGGTGTTGTTTCTAGTCTAATCTTTATTGTTTCTCTAGTTGACCCTTATTACATTGTAACAGCTAAGGCTGACCAGCAACGTGAGTTGGTCACACCCATTGAGTTGGCCATGCCCACACAATCATATGACCACCAAGCTATGCCTGCCCAGCCGGTCATTAGGGCAGAGAACCGGTTGTTAAATTATTTGAATCCCACCACTGCTTCTAGCTATCTAGAAAGAGTGCAGAGAAGAGCAACAAAGATGATTAAGGGTCTGGGGGCTAAAACATATGAAGAACAGTGGCAGGAATTGGGTAGGTCTAGTTTAATGAAAAGAAGGACTTAGGGTGACATGATAGCAGTCTTCCAATACATGAGGGGCTGTCACAAAAAAAGGGGGGTCAACCAAAGCACCTAAGAGCAGGACAAGAAGCAATGGATGGAAACTAATCAAGGAGAGAACCAACCTAAAACTAAGGAAAAACCTCTTGAGAGTGTGAGGACAATTAATCCTTGGAGCAACTTGCCTCCAGAAATTGTGGCTGTTACAACACTGGAGATTTTTAGGAAGAGACTAGACAGCCACTTGTCTGAAATGGTACAAGGGTCTCCAAGGTCCTCTCCATCTCTGTTATTGTGTTATTCATTCTCTCACTCCAACTTTCAGGACTTAACAGAAATAAACAAGAAATGTCTCTTTCAAATAAACAAATAGCAATAGCACTTACTTATATACCGCTTTACAGTGCTTTACGGCCCTCTCTAAGCAGTTTATACAGAGTCAGCAACTTGCCCCCAACAATCTGGGGCCTCATTTTACCAATCTCAGAAATATGGTGTCAGTTCTGGAAGCCATCTTTTACATTGGACCTTCAGGACTGCCACATTTAATGCTGTTGGAAACTGGGAGGGGGGATTGTATGGATCAGAGGAAATAAATAGTCATAATAACATTCCTTTCTCTGAGAGTCAAGGACATCTTGCCCTGCACCTGGAGGGGTGTGACTGGGAGGCATCTCCAGTTGGGATGGTGCATTGATTTGGCCATGTGATGGACATGTGGATGCTGGGGCAGGGACATGAACTTTCTTTTGGGTGGGGAAAACCTGGAAGCTTTCAGATTCGGGTTTTCCCAGATGTGCCAATATGACTTCTCTAATAAAATGGAACTTTGAGGAACTTCTAGCCTCGGAGTCTTCTTTCATTGGGGGTGTTACTTGGAACCCTGACAAATCAAAGGCTGAGTCTACCTTGAGCCTGGTGAGATTCAAACTGCCAAATTGCAGGCAGTCGGCAGTCAGCAGAAGTAGCCTGCAGTACTGCTCTCTAACCACTGCGTCACCGTGGCTCATATAAATAAATAAATAAATAAATAAATAAATAAATAAATAAATAAATAAATGTGGCAAATAAACAATTGAAAAATAAATGTGGGTGGAGAATAATTACTTAGAAAATAGACGCTAATCACTCAGGTTTGTTCACATTTAGGGCTCCCACACAATTCATTGTTTAAGTGACAAAGTTACATTTAACATGTCAATGCAAAAATCCATAAAAAGTAGAAAAAGGTTTTTTTTTACCTGAAAATTTTCCTTCCTTACAGCGGGCCGGTCCACAGATCCCAACAATGGGTCTTTGGCCTCTCCCTTGCTGTTCTGGAGGAAAATTGGATCTGTGAGTTAAAAGAAGGAACATGCTATTCGACCCAGCCCAACCCCCCTTTTAATTTAATTATTATTTTTAAATTACAACAAGTCATTCTTAAAGGAAACCTGATAAACGTAAGCCGTGCTCCATATACCACGTGGCTCTTGAACGGTTTGAAATCTGGAAACAGTTCATGTATTTAACGCATTTGAAATGTGGCTATTTAGTTTACAGGCGGTTCTTGAATTACAACAGTTCATTCAGTGACCATTCGAGGAGTGGTGCGGTGGCCTAGAGGTGGAGCTCTCACCTCGCAATCAGGAGGCTGAGAGTTCGATCCTAGGTAGAGGCAGATATTTCTCTCTCTGGGCACAATGAGAATATATCTGCTGTTCAAAACTCTGCATTGGTGACAGGAAGGGCATCCGGCCAGTAAACACTCTGCTAGCTCCATTCAGTTACCCAGATTCCACCCTGCAAGGGATTACGTGGTCATTAAAAAGAGATGATTTAGTGACCGTTCGAAGTTACAATGGCACTGAAAAAAGTGAGTTATGACTGCTTTTCACACAACCATTGTAGCATCTCCATGGTCATGTGATCAAAATTCAGAAGCTTGGCAACTGGTTCATACTTATGACGGTTGCTGTGTCCCAAAGTCATGTGATCCCCTTTTGCAACCTTCCTACAAGCAAAATCAATGGGGAAGCCAGATTCACTTAACAACCATGTTACTAGCTTCACAACTTCAGTGATTCACAACTGTGGCAAAATAAGTTGTTAAAAGGAGGCAAAATTCACTTAACCACTATCTCACTTAGCAACCAAGATTTTGGGTCAGTTGTGGTCATAACATAAGCCTTAAGACTACCTGTATTTATTTGTTTACTAAATCTGTAATGAACCATTTTGCCACAAGGCAACTCAGGGCAGTTTGCAACATTAAAATGAAACCTTGAATATAAGTATAAATGTATCAAATCAAACTAAACATAAACTCAACATCTGAGCCAATTTTAGAGTTTTGCTCAAAAGTTTCCCTTCATTTACTTCATCGAGCTGTAACTTTGGCCAGGCAAAATTAAAATTCTACTACACTTTAGAAACTATTTGATATACGAATGGGCTTTTTGTTTCCAGATTTCAAACTTAAGGCATACCTTCGTTTCATGCTAGAATATAATCTTCAAACACATTACAATTTTGTAATCCGAAGATTTATCAATACGTGTTTCAGTATACAATTCAGTGGCTCTTTCCGTGGGCTCATTACCAGCAAAGGACAGATCAAAAGAAACACTTGGAATTCCATTTGAATTGGAAATTCTACTCTCCTCATCCCAGCCCCATCGGCTAAAAATGATCATCTCCTCCACTTGAAACTGGCACACTCTGCTTGGAACATAAACACCCAACTATTCCGACAACCATTCTTCATTGTATTGATTAATCCAAGTTTGACAGACTCACTACTGGATTTATGGCAATACCAAAGCATGCAAACAAGTATGAATGGAGGATACCTTAATCTCCACTGAGCTAAGTTCTTAACACAGATAGGAATGAAACTCTTACACAAACCCATTTTATTCCACGTCTATTAACTGAAACATCAAATGAAATATTTGAGCAAGTCGTAGGATGGACACTGTAGCCATTTGGCTGTATTACGCCATGTTTTCTTCGGTTGTGATTTGTTGATTAGAGCACATTTTATCCCATAATGCACAGAGTCATACATTATAGCTCCAAAAGAATAAACCCAAATCAAAAGACCTATAGCTTAGATAAGATCTATGCAGTCATTGTATAGTAAAATTAGAACTTGATATGAAGGTGGGTTTTTTTTTTACAGAGTCATATTAATCCCCTGTCTTCTAATTTAAAATGCCCAATGAATAGAATAGAATAGAGTAGAGTAGAGTAGAGTAGAGTAGAGTAGAGTAGGATAGGATAGGATAGGATAGGATAGGATAGGATAGGATAGGACAGGACAGGACAGGACAGGACAGGACAGAACAGAACAGAATAGAATTCTTTATTGGCCAAGTGTGATTGGACACACAAGGAATTTGTCTTGGTGTATATGCTCTCGGTGTAGATAAAAGAAAAGATACATTCGTCAAGAATCATAAGGTACAACACTTAATGATCGTCATAGGGTACAAATAAGCAATCAGGAGACAATATCAATATAAATCATAAATCGTAAGGATACAAGCAACAAAATTACAGTCATGCAGTCATAAGTGGGAGGAGATGGGTGATAGGAATGATGAGAAGATTAGTAACTGTTTTGACAGTGTTGAGGGAATTATTTGTTTAGCAAATAACTATGTAACTATTTGTTTAGCAAATAATTATTTGTTTAGCAAATACTTAGTAACTATTTTGACAGTGTTGAAGGAATTATTTGTTTAGCAGAGTGATGGCATTCGGGGAAAAAACTGTTCTCGTGTCTAGTTGTTCTGGTGTGAAGTGCTCTATAGCGTCGTTTTGAGGGTAGGAGTTGAAACAATTTATGTCCAGGATGGGAGGGGTCTGTAAATATTTTCACAGCCCTCTTTTTGACTCGTGCAGTATACAAGTTCTCAATTGAAGGCAGGTTGGTAGCCATTGTTTTTTCTTCAGTTCTAATTATCCTCTGAAGTCTGTCTCTGTCTTGTTGGGTTGCAGAACCAAACCATTATTCTCTATTTATTATGTCAGAAAAGTTACCTTGCTCAACACTGCTGTTCAAATTCCTTTTTCTTGGAATACTATGTTTTAAAAATAAAAATATCAGTGGTGTCAAACTCAAGGCCTGGAGCCAGATCTGGCCCATGGGGTGCTTAGATCTGGCCCATTAGTCCACAATGGAAACACTGAAGGATTGGCCCACAGCCATGGGCCGTGGGCCCTCCCCAGCTCCATTTTTGCTGGCAGAGGGTTGCAGGATCCTGTTTTTTCTGGCAGAGTGCTCGGGCTACCACAGGCTCCCCCGACACAAGTGACATCAAGCTGGGCATGCCCACCATGGCCATGCCAACCCCGGCCCCCTGAGGTCAACCACAACCGTGCTGTGGCCCTCAATGAAATCGAGTTTGACACCCCTGTGTTATATCATAGCAAGGCTCCAACCTGAGGAAACTCAGTGTCCTAACAGCTTTAGATGACACGAAAGTTGCAGCTGGCCTAACATGCAGATGATGGAACAATCCCATCACCATAGTTCAGTGTTTCTCAACCTTGGCAACTTTAAGATGTGTGGACTCTCCCCTCCCAGAATTCCCCAGCTTAAGCTTGTCAAGGTTGAGTAACACTGTCATAAACTAACACCAAAACTAATGCTACTATGCCAGTTATGGTAGAGTTCCAGGTTCACTCAAGCTGTTGGTGATGGCCTACCAAGCCCTATGTGATGTCCAGATTACATCAGGAGGCAAGATTAAATTGATAATCTTGGTGAGAAGCAATGCTAGGTTTCTACCAGTTCATCCTGGTTCGGGAGAACTGGTAGCGGTGGGAGGCTCCGCCCACTCACCCAGACGTCGTCACGGATACTCGGAACATGCACAGAAGGTTCTGTTCTGAACCAGTAGCGAAGGTAAGTGAGAAAGACAGTTGGGGGAAGAAAGAAGGACAGATTAACTATGTCACTTTCTGTGCATCCTCAATTTTTTATTTTTTATTTTTTGCTTTAATTTATATGCCGCCCTTCTCCGGAGACTCAGGGCGGCTTACAATGCGTTAAGCAATAGCCTTCATTCTTTTGTATATTTATACAAAGTCAGTTTATTGCCCCCACAATCTGGGTCCTCATTTCACCTACCTTTGAAAGGATGGAAGGCTGAGTCAACCTTGAGCCTGGTGAGATTTGAACTTGCAGTAATTGCAAGCAGCAGTTGTTAATAACAGTGCTTTAGTCCACTGTACTACAGGCTCTAAATAAAAATTACAGGGAACAACTGCAAAAAGTATTCTTCACCACATATGTATATAAAATTACTTCTTTCCAGCATCAAACAGATTGGTTTTTCAATTGAAATATTTTTCCAACAAATTTTTATTTTCAAGAATATACACTAGCGATAACAGATTTAACAACAATGTGCTTTCCAAATTTAACCAGGGAAATATTTGAAAAGTCACATGACCCATGGACTACAATGATCATAGATCGGGAGGGCCTGGATTAAAGCCAATTGCTAGAATCAGAAAATAAATGGCACAGGTGTAGATTTGTCAAATGAGGACCACATGTTTTCTGAATAGTTTTTATCCCAGAGCTATGATTGCACTCAACAATGAACTAAAGGGCCACCATCAGTGAGCTGTTGGACAACATTACTTGGTCTGTTGTGTGGATGTTTGGGTGGTTTTGGGGTGGGGAATTTGTGGTGGGTGGGAGTGTGTTTGGGGATTGTTATGTGTGTTGGACCTGGTCTTTGGGTGTTAAGGGGATTTCGTTGTATGGGTATACTGTGTATACACGTACAATGACAATAAAGTTGTTGTTGAAACCCACTACTGGTGAGAAGTCCTCACACCATATAAGATTACAAAACGTGGGCTAGATGATAACCCTCTATGAGTCCTGGCCTCCTTGTCCTGAGAGATTCACAAAACCTTTCCAACTCATCATTCTATACAACTATCAAAACAAGTTAGTTCAACAAGTTGAACAGAACATTTCTGTCAGCCATTGGGGGAGGTTGAGTGTCTCTATGTTCTTATGAATTGGAGTTTTTCTTTGTTTTGCTATTCAGAGTCTGTAGATAGGGGCAGATTGCAAAGGCTGTGAAATAAATAATTCTCACGGTTGATTTAACAGTATCCTTTGGCTTCGTCTTCCCAAAATATCCCCCCTCTATTTACTTTTAATCAGCCTTTACATACAGCTGTTAGCCAACAGCTTCCAAACAATGAAGACACCTCCCTAGCTGAGTACTAGAGTGTCTATATTGAAGGGGAAATATATTACCCTACTTTTGTGTTAATCAGTGTTTGATCTCAAGGCCAAACTACA